AGAAGCCAATCAATGAGCTAGCACTGAGAGGGAAAGTACAGGAATTCAGAGTGTCGCTGCAGAACAGGTACTCAGCTCTTAGTGAGGAAACCAACCTTAGCGTAGATACAATGAATGATAATCTGACGAGTATCATTACGGAGTGTGCAGCGGAAGTTGGAGGCAGGGTACTTAGACAGGACACCGGCAAGCTTTCCCAGGAAACAAAGAACCTAGTTAGGAAGCGTCAAATCATGAAAGTGTCAAGTACAACAGACAAAATAGAACTGGCAGAGCTTTCGAAGTTGATTAATAGACGTAAGGTATGCGATGTAAGAAGGTATAACATGGAGAGAATTGAACACGCTCTGAAAAACGGAGGAAGCGTCAAAGCAGTGAAGAGGAAACTTGGGATAGGCAAAAATCGGATGTATGCACTAAGGGACAAAGAAGGCAAAACAACTACCAATATGGATAGGATAGTTAAAATAGCAGAGGAGTTTTACGGAGATCTGTACAGTAGCTGGGACAACCACGACTTTAATACTATAAAAACTAGCAGTAACCCAGATTACAACCCACCAGTAATGATAGAAGAAGTCAGAAAAGCTTTGGAGAGCATGCAAAGAGGCAAAGCTGCTGGTGAGGATCAGGTAACATCAGATCTGCTTAAAGATGGAGGACAGATTGTGTTAGAAAAACTAGCTACCCTGTTTACGAGTTGTCTCCTGACGGGAAGAGTACCAGAGTCTTGGAAGAACGCTAACATCATCTTAATACATAAGAAAGGAGATGACAAGGACTTTACACCATGCCACTTTACACCCTCATGGACCATGCCACTTTACAAGGACCATGCCACTTTACACCTTCAAACTTCTTAATATCACCTGCCCACTTTCTGTCTCCCGCTCAACCACTTGCCTTGTCTGGGAATCCAGTCAGTTACTCTTAATGGCCAGTGGTTATCCTGCCTTCGCGCTATATACATACTCAGTCGATGTCCATTTCCACGATTCTCTTGATTTCAACTATGATATCCCTAACCCCGGTTTTTTTGGTTTTTCCCTTGATCCACTCTGCTCTCTTCTTGTCTCTTAAAGTTGTACATATCATTTCCCTTTCTATCGCTCGCTGCGTCATCCTCAATTTAGGCTGAACTTTCTTTATAAGCCTCCAGGTTTCTGCTCCGTAGATAAGTACCAACAAGATGCAGCCGTTATATACCTTCGTTTTGAGGGATAGTGGCAATCTACCAGTCATGGTTTGAGAATGCTTGCAGAATGTGCTCCGCCCCATTCGTATTTTTCTAGTTACTTTAATCTCGCGTTTTGGCACCGCGGTTACTACCTGTCCTAAGTAGATGTATTATTTTACAACTTCAAGTGTACTGCTACCTATCTCGAAGCGCTGTTCTCTTCCGAGGTTGTTTTCCATTACTTTCGTTTTCTGCAGATTAATTTTAAGACCTACCTTTCTGCTCTCCGTGTGTAATTCAGTAATCAGGAATTGCAGTTCGTCCCCTGAAATACTGAGCAATGCAATGTCATCAGCGAAGCGCAGGTTATATCTCCATTAACTCTAATCTCTAACTCACATTATAGGCCCCTTAAAACCTCCTGTAAGCACGCTCTAATTGACATTGGGGAGATCGTGTCCCCTTGTCTTACAGCTTTCTTTATTTATATTCTGTCGCTTTCTTTATGGATCACAACGTGGCAGTTGATCTTTTGTAGATTTCTTCCAGGATGTTTATATATGTTTCGTCGACACCCCGACTCCGCTGTATCTGCATGACTGCTGATATCTCTCCTAAATAAAATGCCTTCTCATAATCTATGAAGGCTATGTATAGTGGTTGGGTGTATTTTGAGCATTTCTCTATTACCTGATTGATAGTATTATTGTGGTCGAATGTTGAATAGCCTGATAAATTTCCTGCTTGTTACTTTGGCTGATTGAATTCTAATATTGTCTTGATTCAGTTAGCAATCATCTTTGTTAATACTTTTCATATGACGAAGAGCAAGCGGATCGGCCTGTACTTTTTCAAGGCCTTGTCGTCTCCGTTCTTATGGATTAAGATGATGTTAGCATTCTTCCAGGATTCTGGTACCCTCCCCATCAGAAGACACTTCGTAAACAGGGTGGCTAGTTTTTCTAACACAATCTGTCCTCCGTCTTTGAGCAGATCTGGTGTTAACTGACCCTCACCAGCAGCTTTGCCTCTTCGCATTCCCTCCAAGGCTTTCCTGACTTCTTCTGTCATCACTAGTGGGATGTCATCTGGGTTACTGCTAGTTCTTTCATTATGGTCATGGTTGTCCTGGCTACTGTACAGATTTCTGTAAAACTCCTCTGCTATTTTAACTATCCTCTCCATATTGGTAGTTACTTTGCGTTCCTTGTCCCTTAGTGCATACATATGGTTTTTGCCTATCTCAAGTTTCCTCTTACCGATGTGACGCTTCCTCCGTTCTTCAGAGCATGTTCAATTCTCTCCTTGTTATACCTTCTTACTCGAGACACCTCACGCTTATTAATCAACTTCGAAAGCTCCGCCAGTTTTATTTTGTCTGTTGTGTTTGAGGCTTTCATGCTTTGACGTTTCTTAATGAGATTCATTGTCTCCTGGGACAGCTTGCTGGTGTCCTGTCTAGCTACCGTACCTCCAACTTCCACTGCACGCTCCGTAATGATACTCGTCAGATTATCTTTCGTTGCGTCAACGCTGCCGGTTTCTTCGATAAGAGCCGAGTATCTGTCCTAAAGCGAGACTCTTAATTCCCGTACTTTCCCTCTCAGTGATAGCTCATTGATTGGCATCTTGCGGATCAGTTGCTGTCACTCCTTCTTCAAGTCTACACTGTAAAAGTTTTTCCTGAAAAAAAAAAAAGAACTTTTCTGGCAGCTGGCCTGCCAGGAAATTTCTGTTTGCTTTGTATGGCTTGTTTGCTACCGTTGGCTTGCTCCCTACAATATAAGTAAAAAATGCTTTGTGAAATGTATTTTCATAGTTGTTTTCAAGTGATAAAAGTCACGTGATCAATCGTCTGTAGAACACCAACATCAAAAACAGAAATTCAGTTTTTTTTTTTCAAAAATGCATTTCTGTTAACAACAAAAAAACAGAACTTTTCTGTGTGACCACAGACTTTTTCTGTCGGAAGTTTGTACTTTTCAATATATGTTTTACAGTGTAGGAGAATTCGAGACCTTACCATTTTATGGTCACTGCATCGTACTTTGCCAATCACTTCTACATCCTGCACGATGCCTGGCTGTGCACTCTGTAAAAAGCGTATTTTGTTCTTACTCTTGCCATTAAGGCTCCTCCATTTCCACTTGTGGGTCACTCGCTTTCGGTAGAAGGTATTCAAGATCCGTAAATGATTGCGTTCTGTGAATTCAACTAATAACTCCCCTTGGAATTTCTAGTGCCGATGCCATAATACCCTACTGCCTAGTCTCCAGCCTGCGTCTTCCCTACCTTGACATTGAAGTCGCCCGTCAGTATAGTATACTGTGTTTTTACGACATTCATTGTCAATTCCACGTCTCCATAGAAGCTTTCAACTAATAAGCCATTATGGCTTCATGTAGGCGCGTAGGCCTGTACCACCTTCATCTTGTATATGGTATTAAGTTTAATTACGATATTGCCATTCTTTCATTAATGCTGTTGTATTCCTGTTACCAATTATACATTTCTGGATAAGAAACCCTACTCCCCGTTCTCTTTTGTCATCCAAGCCACGATAGGAAAGGACGTGCCCATTCTGTAGCACTGTATAGGGCTCATCTGTTCTCCAAACCTCACCGAGTCATATTACATCCCATTTAACACGCTCTAGCTCCTCGAACAGCAAAGCAAGACTTGCCTCACTGGATAAAGTTCTTGCGTTAAACGTTGCCAAGTTCAAGTTCGAATGGCGGCCTGCCTGGACCCAGAGATTCTTCGCACCCTCTCATGTTTCGCAGATCTGACGGGCGCCGTGGTCAGTATACGACATATATTTCTAGAGTACGTTAGGAAAATTCTACTTCAATCCACATAATTTTCATGAGTCCCGAGGACAGCGTGAACAGAAAACGTGAAAAATACATTGTACCCTCGCACGAACATATATGTATATAGAGGGATATCGGACCTCATCACTCTCATGACTTTTTCTCTCTATCCCTCTCTCTCACACACACAAACACACAGAAAACTCAGGCTAAGCCACTGACTGGAACACTTGCACAACCAGCAGTTGGCCTCAAGGAGCAGTGAAAAACCAGTACATTGAAAGAGAACGCTCAGCGCTGATTTGAATGTTGGTGTTGGTGACCGTATACGAAACAGCCGGCCGAGATCCGTTGCCACGCGAACCCAGGAACTCCTCTTTACCTTTGCAGAAGTTAATTACACAACCCTCTTCATTAGTTTTCTCGTACAATTTTAATACATGGTGCCTCAAAATTGTTTGCGCAAACAAATCGCGGAACCATCCGAGGCTTCGCGCTGAGCTACAGTCGGCTGCTGTGGCCTTCCGCGATATCAATGGCGCGCGCATTGCCATGGAAGAGCGCGGACGCCTACGCCCATTGCCCTCTGGCATGCGCAGGTGCGTCAGGAGCGTCGCGTCGCTTGGTTCAGCGCATAGCTCGCGTGACAGCCCGCCTGGCAAGTGCCGCTAGGCTAGACTAGGTCGCCAGGCCACTAGCGCTGTTGTCCCCGCACCGTAGCCGGTGAGGCAATGCGGCGCTCCGTGCCGGCTGTTGCGTCGTGAGTCACACCGAGACGGAACTACACGAGCGCGAAAGAACAAAGTGGGGCCACCTAGCAATTGCGGCACGAGTCTGCGACATGCTTGCCGATGCGGTTTCGCGCCGGCGTGGGCGGTATCTCGTTCTGCCCAGAGAGGGCGCACAGGCGTGCGGAAAAGCGCCGCTCGCTGCGCTGAGAGGCCACGGTTGATATAGAAATGATAAAAAAAGAAGGAAGGAAACTAAAAACAAGGAGTGTCCCAGTGCGCTCGCAAACGCATGCGCGCTCTGAAAAAAACAAACGCGGGGAGTTTCTCCGAAGAGCACGCAAGCGAACCAGTCGCCGGCCGGCGCGCAGCTTTCCGGGAGCGAGAGACAGTCTCGAGAGTTGAAAGTCGCACTTGGCGGAATCGCGAACGCACAGCGACGCTGAGGCTGCAGCGATAAGCTATTTCGACCGGCATCCGCACAACGCTACTAGTCCACCGTTCGTTCATTTTACTGCCAGGTCGGCCTCTTTTTAACGCTTTTCAGTAAAAATGTCGCACACCGTGACGGTGACCAGAATGACGACCACAAGCAGCTCTCCGATGGTGATCAACACGGGATACGCCTGCAATATACACGGAGCCCTCAAGGTCCTCGAAACAGTGAGTGTTGGCCACCTTTCAAGCATTCGATTGAGTAATTTCAATGTATACGTGAATGGCGAGCTAAACTGAAACACATGCAGGTGAAACGTAGTTTTAATGAGTTGCTCATTTACACTGAATGAGGAAAAAATTATTCCGTTTCATCTGCCGCACCGCGTTAGCCATCAACATATTTATATGTATATGACAGCGAAACTTAACACGGGCGCAAGTAGGTAAACTTGAACAATATGAAATCCGAAACCAATCGCGCAGGAGGAACAGTGGTCACGTGTCGGGGCGTGGCTGTGGGAGATCTGCTGTCAAAACAAGCTGACGCTGACAGGGATCGTGCTTTTGCCGTGATTCTGGTCATCAGCGACGCCGTAGGCCCACTGTGACAAATTAGACCGTCGTGTGTTGTACTGGGGCACGGGATGGGTGGCATAGGAAAGGTCAAGTGAAGCGTCAGACGCAGCAGAGCCGAGGCCGCTCGTCTGCTTCCATTTTTAGCAGACGAAAAGTGGAGCGTGCCGCGCGCGCACTCACACTTTTGGACAGATGCAATTGATTCGCGATGCTCCCGGGTCCCAAAGCTAGCATCGCTCCCATATGCTACAGGCTTGCGCCCTCTTGCCGGCGGCTTTCGCGCTCTCTTCCGCTGTCCAGCTTGCAACGCAACTTTTGCATCGATATTGCACCTCACGCTTGTTCCCACTGAAGTGTAGACGCGAGAGCACTGTCTCGTGAGTGCCGTATTCCTGCAGTCGCCTGACAGCTTTCATTGCGACAGAAACGAAAGCTTTCGCGGCGAAAGCCGCATTCATGCATTTTTGTTTTAAGCGTGACTCATGACTGTTCTTCCTTTGCCTTAGCTGTAATCACACCGGAAGAGAGGCTATATCTTTTAGGTATAGCCTGTCTGGCCGTTGCAAGTAAAACGTATATACGATACTTGTTGTTCTTGCAGTAGTGCGATTACAGTGATATCCTTGAGGTGATTCATTTTGTGGCGCGCCCGCCGGCTCGTGCTTTATGGCATTCCTGTGTGACGAGCGCGTGGCGCCAGTGTTTCATGAATGATATGAGAGCATAGAATGGAAGGGGGAAAATAATCTTATTTTTGCGTTACCGATCGACTGCTGCAAAGCAGCAGTTGTAAGCTGGTTCAAACGACTGATTTCTTGTATATGCTTTCTTAACTCCCATATTTGGGCATTGGTCTCGCAACTAGGTCTTACATTTGACGGCAATGCATGATATTAACAATATCTGAGGTTTAAACGTCCCAAAAGCACCATATGATTGAGAGACGTCGTAGTGGAGGGCTCCGAAAAATATGACCACCTGGTGTTCTTTTAACGCGCACTTGGCATCGCACAGTACACGAGCCTCTGTCGTTGCACCGTAGCGACTGTTTCACTAAGGCGGACGGCGTGCATGGAGTTCATTATTACAAGTGAAAATAAAGTTTTCTGATTGATTGATTGATTGATTGATTGATTGATTGATTGAAGTACGCTGTATAGCTCTAGTAGTGATTGATGGAAACGCTGGATGAAATATATGGTGGGTCGTTGCATTATTTTTTTTTACTATGACCTGTTACAATATTGGCCTGCCAATACGAATGTCTAATTGCCCAAATAAAGTGACTCACTGCAATTGTTCTTTGGATAGACGTGTAGTCGCATTCTTGCGGCATTGGGGGTGGGCGTGTCACGTTTCGCGATAGTTTTGTCGGTTAGGCTTGTTTCCGTGGCGGTTTCTCGCTGCGGAATCACGTCATTTCCTTTTTGAGCGGGGGCGGACACCCTTGGTAGGTGCCCCTGCCCGTACAAAGAAGATTGGAGAGTGGCGTTTCTGATCGCTGACTATTCAAATCGACGAATGTACCCATGCCGAACAACTCGTTAGTCCTGCTCATTTTTCTTTTTCTCTTTTTTGTGAAATAAAAACATACGATGACGAAACCGGCAATACATGACACGTTAGGTGAATGCTGCAAACACGTCAGGCAATGAATGCATAAGTGTCATTGGATATGTGGTAAATAATAAGTGATTGTTTGGTGGAGTGTTCTTTCTTAACTCTGTGATGCTAGTGAGTGAGGGCGCACGATGGGAAAAAAAGAAGGTAAAATAGGAGGTATTAATTCGTCAAGAGGTATTAATTATGAATACTACACACTTCCTGATAGATATGTGGGGTTTAACGTCCCAAAACCACCATATGATTATGAGAGACGCCGTAGTGGAGGGCTCCGGAAATTTCGACCACCTGAGGTTCTTTAACGTGCACCCAAATCTGAGCACACGGGCCTACAGCATTTCCGCCTCCATCGATAATGCAGCCGCCGCAGCCGGGAGAACCCGCGACCTGCGGATCAGCAGCCGAGTACCTTAGCCACTATAGACCACCGCGGCGGGGCCTAAACACTTCCTCCATACTTGTCACGGTGGCATGTGCGTTGAAATTGTGCCTAATCATCACTGATACTCAGTTGTGAAATGACTGACCGGTTCATGCGCGTTTATACGTATATAGCCCATGGTAACACTATCGGAGGTGACATATTTTGAGCCTGCCGGAAGATTTTTGCAGCACTGGTAAAGAAGTAAGAATGAAACATCCGGTCTCTAATAAGGTCAATCGTTTGCGTCAAGTGATAGGGGACCGAAAACAAAGGTGGCTGGAAGATAGTGGCGCATGACACGAGTGTGTTACGCCCTTCGTATTGATGTAACAGTGCAGGGGAGGATTGCGCCAGAGGGTGATTTTATCGGCATGTGGCAAGTTCTACATATACACCAACTCATTTGATCGGCAGCTACACAAAAGCTATCGCCAGCGTGGCATAACAAAAGAAAGAAAAGCTTTACATACATATATCAGTTGGGCTCCGCAAGTATACGTTGGGCTCGATCCTTAAAAATATTTCAAGCATGGTTAAAAAAGTATTAGTTTTTACCGCGTTGCATTATTCCTGAGGTACACAGGCGTTATAAGTTTTCCTAATTATCTTACCAAGGATTTAAATTGGGTTGTAATTACGGAATATAAATTGCGTGGGTTTCAACTGTGAGGCACGCTGTGATTCAGGTGACTTCGGTTTGATTCTGACCGTACACAGCGGTTTTAAATACGTGACTGTTCCCGCATTGCGTCCCTTTGTCAAAATCTGGCTGCTACCGTCGGGGTTCAACCCGCGACCTCGAGCTGAGCAGGGCTGCAGCGCCGTGTACAGCCACTAACATGCACGGCTTTCGGTAACAATAGAATCGCACGTTTTTTCCTGCAGTCTAAACACTGACCGCATTGGTTGGTTGGTGCAGCATTACGAGGAGTGTCGTCTGGGGGGAAAACGTTAGCCGCGGTGCGCCTACAACTCGCGCTGAACTGTTGGGCTGTGTTCCGGCATTGTATACGGCTGACCCGTTTGAGGCGCGCTGGTCCGGTTACGGCGCAAGAACGCGATACAAAGGGCGCTCTGGTGTGGCATTTTGGATCATCAGACGGGTTTTCGTGGCTTCACGATAATAAAGTTTTCGGGTGTTAGCCGTGATGGTGCAGCATCCGAGTTAGAATTCGAGTTTCTTATTCATGAGTGCTTACTTTTAACAGTGCTAACTTTTTTTTTTCATTTTTAGTAGGTAACAAGGGTTTGTACGTTGTAACAAGGGTCCTATCTACACTATTTTTGGGGACCACTGTAGTACAATATTTTCTTTTTCGATTTTTGGTCTAATGCAGTTCCTCAATTGTGGTAAACGCCGAGGAATATATGACGCTGTCCATACTTTTTTCCACCCTGTGCCTTCTAAAAAGGTTTTGCCCTGAGAATTTGGCGATGCAATCGGTTTCAATACTTTAATTTAACCTCCTCACTCAGTACTGTGGGTGATAATTTCGATATCATACTATTACATCAAATAGACTGTCCATAATAATTACACAGATAACACGCGCAAAATGCCATGAAAAATGTTTGCTATGAAATAAAAGGGCAATAATAATATGTCGTTAGAAGTAGAAATAAAAACTTTTAGAAACACCAAGGCTTATAGTCTCCATTCATTTTCGTTTTCAAATTTTCTCGGACATCTTAAATGGCGTCTTGACATTCCGACTTCCATTCATTAAGTTTTTGACAATAGCTCAGTATAAACAAATTATAATTAAGTTGCGACCGCAGTCCAGAAGTTCGATTCCAAAAGTCTGCGACTGCCCCATAGTTGTAGCAGATGCGTCAACTGTCGAACTGCGGGGTCAAGCTCCTTACTCTGCGGGGAAGTGTTCGTTGCGGGTGGGCGACCAGCCGTCGCCGGGGGAACACGGCCGGACCGCTCTTTTTTTTTTTTTTTTGCCACTGGATCGATACGAGGCAAAGACAGCGCGACGCCTGTTCGTTGTGACGGCAGCGTCTCGGAGGAAGCTTGCGGGACCTCCCGCCCGCGTTGCCCGCCCGCTTGCGCTTTTTTTCGACGTGTTGTAAACGCACGCTGAATACGCATTTTCTCTGGGGCACTGCGAGCGACAATTGATTTGCACGCCTGGATTTCGCTTTTTGTTTCCCGGCAGTGCTGTTATCCTACTCCTGACGCTGTAATATTATCGCCTTTTCATTCCATGGCAAACTTGTTTTTATGGCATTTTGCTTCCTTTATTCATGAAATTATTGTGGACAGTCTATAGGACGTGATAGTATGATGTCGAAATTACAGAGCACGATAGTATAACCATCGATTGGATGGCGCGTGTTCCAGCTTGCGCTGTTTGTGAAGAGCAGGCGCTGTCTAGTCTGGGTCACTATGCGTAGGCACCGGCGGGCCATCGAGGAGGCGTTCTTTTTTTTTTTTTTTTTGCAGCAAGCGAGAGGAACTTGCTCGGCAAAAGGAAAGCAACGGGTTTCGGGCCGAGTCGTTTCACGCGAGATGGTTGATCGGTATAAAGCGGCTGGGCGAGGTAATATAGGAGGATCGTTGCGTTACGTATTGCACAGCGGAACTGTGAGGAAA